TCTTTCTTTCTTTCTTTCTTTCTTTCTTTCTTTCTTTCTTTCTTTCTTTCTTTCTTTCTTTCTTTCTTCTCTCTTTCTTTCCTTCCTACTTCTTTGCTTGCAATTTAGCTGAAGAAAATTAGAAACAAACAGACTTCAGACACCATAAACATTGCTAGATCCCTTTCCATCCTTTTATGAACAACTGCTCAATTTCTTCCCAAAGAGAACCCCAATTTTTAAACCCTCCTACCCCCCAAAATTAACTGTCAGCAACGCTTTTCTGATCATTTACTTCCAAACTGAACCCCCCATTTCCCCTCCCAAACTACAAACCAACAAAGGCAACACCCCCTCCAACCTCAAACGGACCCCCCTTCATCTTCCACACACCCCAAAAAACAACCCCGTAATGGCACCTTTACCGGGTCTTGCTTGGGCTTCTCTGGTTCGGCTGGCGGGACTGGGCTGGGATTGGGAGCCGGTCCCGAAAAGTTCTTGGCGTTTTTCTCCTGGGCGTTGACTTTGATGAGCCGGTTGATGTACCCCCCACAACTGGGGTTCCCTTTGGGGGGCCCCCAGCCCGGCTCCTCCGGAGGGGCCCCCTCCACCCGCGAATTCTTTCGCATCTTCCCTGCAGCGGCTTGCAGAAGCCCCTGGAGGTTGTCCCGGGATAACCGGCTCCCGGTGCCATCTTTCCCTGGTGCCAACGGGGTCTTGGTGCCGCCCAGCTCGGTGGCCGAGTTCTTCCGGTTCTTCCCGGGCAACGAGGAGGCCAAAGCGGCTTCGGGCAATCCTAAGTTTTTCCGGGCACCGCCGCTCGGCTTACTCGCCTGATGCCCGCCACTGGGTTTGGGACGGTCGGAGACGGTTTTGAGGTTGGCGGGGAATTCCTTGAACCACTTGGCAGCCATGGTGCCCGGAAGGAGTCAAGAAGGACCGACCACCCCCAGCAGGAAGGCACAAGCCCCCCTCCACCCCCCCCCAAAAAATGTTTCTTGGGGTGCCCGGCAAACCTCAGGCCTCCTCCCTCCAGCACCCCAGCTGGGAAGCTGCACCCCGCTTGCAAACCGAGAAAGCCAAGGCCAGAAACAGGGCGCTCCCCAAGGCATGCCCCAGGAAGACCCCCCACCCAAATAACAGGGCTCTCTACCTCTGCCCCCTAAGACCTCCTGCTGCCCATGGAACTAGCTACAGGCCCCCCCACCCCAAACAACAAGGGGGAAAAAAAAACCTTTCCCCCCCCAGTGCTTCATCCCTCCTCCGAGGTTATTTGCGTACCCCCAAATCTCAGCCTCGTCCTGGGTCAGCCCGATCGAAGATTAATTTGCTGGTTTTTTTTCCGGAAGTTTTGGGAAGTTGGGAGCTGTAAATAAAGGGGAGGGGGACAAAAAAAAACACAGCAAGGAGGAGAGGAGGAAGTTTGTTCATTTAAAAGCGGAGAGAAAAGAAGAGATGGAAGGATCTTGGGGTGCAGCTAGTTCAATCGAGCCAGTTTTGCTGGGTGATTTTAACCCGGGGGTGGGTGGGGGGGTGGACTTTTTCTCCCCTGGTGTTGAGGGCAAATAAAGGGGGGGGGTTTCCTTCCCTCCCCCCTACCCAAAACAGAGATCCATCAGGACAGACACAGACAGACACACACACACCACAAGAGGGGGTCCCCCAAAGCGGAGGAGATAGGGAGAAGGGTTCTAAATTGGGGGGCTGCTCCTCCCAGACCCTGCCCCCCCACCCCCACCCCCCAAGCCCCCCTCCCCCCCCCCCGGGCCGGGGGTGGGCCCCCCCCCCCCCGGGCTGCCTGCCGGCGCCGACCCCCCCCCCCCCCCCCCCCTCTCCCGGCCCCCCGCGCGCGCAATCCGGTGCAAAGAGTTGCCTTGGCTTGGACGCAACTTTGCGAGCGCTGCTTCTGGCTCGCGCAGGGAAGGAGGGAGGGGAAGGAGGGAGGGAGGGGGCGGCACACACACACACCCCCACACACACCCCGCCCAGATCCGGAGGAGGAGGAGGAGGAGGTGGCGGGGAGGCTTGGATGGGAAGCGTGGGGGCGCGCAGGGGCTGCGCTAGGACAGACGGAATGGGAAACTTTGCAAACTTAATAAAACTTGAGCTAAATGAATTATTGCCTTTTTTTTTCCCGCCCCAGGATTTTAAATGCGATGCAACTATTTCGAGGGTATTTTTGACCTTTTTTTTTTTATTTAAGAAATTTTTTTATCTGGAACGGGGCGTGGGTGGGTGTGCTGGAGGTTGTGTGTGTGTGTGTGTGTGTGTGTGTATATTTATACATATATGTGTGTGTGTGTTTGTGTGTATATTCATGTAAATCTCTATTCCTCCTTTCCACCTACCTACCTACCTACCTACCTACCTATCTATCTACAGTGCCTGCCTACCTGCCTACCTGCCTACCTGCCTACCTGTCTATCTATCTATCTATCTATCTATCTATCTATCTATCTATCTATCTATCTATCTATCTATCATCATCATCTACCATGTTAAAATTGCACACACACACACACGTATAATGCACCCTTTTACCTATCTAATGCATAGAGACGTACACCCATGCATCTAATCCGGATCCACTCCGGATTAAACGCTCCCCCTCCCCTCCCATGGAGAGCCAGAGAGGGGGAGGGCGGGGGAGCGATGCGCGCCGGCGCAAAACCGCGCTGCGCCTTGATAGCCTCGTGGGAGTTGCGCGTTCGTTTGCTCCGGGTTCGCGTCTCTTTTCTTCTCTCCGGGTGAGTAATCCGGAGTGAGACCCTTTTCTACTTTCTCCTTTGCAAGACGCTCCTTTGCAACAGCGGCGTTTTCCTCCCCTGCTTTTTCCAACACCCCAAATTGCCTCCCCCGCCAAAAAAAGCCCACTTTATGCCTTTAAAAATAAATGCAAATAATAATATTAATAATAGCAAAGGCGTGTTGGGAAAAGAAAAAAAAAAACGGATAGGTCCCGCCCCTATGCAGAAAAATAATCCCAATTATGCTGTTGCAACGTGGTTAAATTCTTTGCTGAAATCCTTCGTTCCTAACTACGCTGCCCTTAATCCAGAAGACTACAATACCCATCCTCCTTGCTAGCATTTCCTGCAGAGAATCGTGATAAAATCTTAGTTGCTTTGATTCGAAGTTTCTTGTTTTTATTTCCACCGGGGTGTGTATTAAGCATTAATACGCTAAATAAATAAATAAATATTAAGTACTAAAATATTTAATACTTGAGTAGTGGGGGTTGGACTAACTGATCTCCAAAGGTCCCCTCCAAGTCTGTTATTCCGTTAATACGAAATTATCTAATATATATGGCTAGTCCTCGTGCCATAAGCTAAAGAAATGAATACCTAAATGTAAATATTTATATTGTAGGGTTTTGTATCTTAAATTGCAGTGTTTTGTGTCTGTAGACTTACAAACGTCTTGTATTTACAACATATTTGTAAATATTTTTAAAATATTTTGCTTTTTTGTTTCGAGTCTCAGGTCTTTCATATGTAAACGGAAGGGAATGCAGTGATGTTTAATAATAACAAATATCTTTATGATTAATGGGTAATAATATTGTGGTTGGTTCAGCCAGAGGTTTCGCCTGTTATTTTTATAAGAATATTTAAGGTCACAAGATGTCAGGTTTTTTTAAAAAAAAATATTGTTAATATTAATGTTATTATTTTAGGGTGTCCTGCTAAATCCTGCAAAGTCACCAGAGCGAGATGTGAGTAGGAAGGAGAAAATATTTTAGAATATAATCCTTGCTAAAGATTAAGCTGCAAGTTAACTTACTTTGCACACTTTCCCTGCACAGTTTTATGGTTAGTTTGATTTAAAAACAACCCTGGCAAAGGTGCATAATCACACTATTATGTTTTTTACTTACTCAAGTTAGCCGGGCTGAGGGAAAACAAGCTTGCAAAAGGTGGCAGTTATTAATCCTAGATTGTTCTAACCTGGTTTGTAGGTTAAGATACGGCCACGACAAACCCTGTTCCCCGGGCTCAAAGAAGCTGGTTAAAGCGAACCCCTTGAAACAGTCGGGTGGTAAGAGTCGATCAAATGTATGAATTAGGCACGCAATTAAACCGTGTCTGGGATTTTTGCATGCCAAAAAAATGGGAAGAGGAGTGGAAAGGAGGGAGGAGGAAGCAGTGAAGAAAGGATAGGCAGGAAAGGAAGGAAGGAAGGAAGGCGTGGAAGGGAGAGATGGAGGAGTGGAAAGAAGAGGGGGAAGAAAAATTGGGAGGGAGGAAGGGAGGAGTGGGAGGGAGGAAGAAGCAATGAATGGATAGGAAGAAAGGAGTGGGACGGAGGGAGGAGTGGAAAGAAGAGGAGGAAGGAAGAAAGTGGGAGGGAGGGAGAAAGGGAAGGAAGGAGTGGGAGAAAGCAGGAAGCAATGAATGGGTAGGAAGGAAGGAGTGGAAGGGAGGGAGGGAGGAGAAAGAAATGAAGGAAGGAGAGGAAGGGAGTGGGAAAGAAGGGAGGGAGGAGGAAGGGAAGGAGGAGTGGAAAGAAGAAAGGAGGAAGAAAGAAAGGAGTGGGAGGGAGGGAGAAGGAAGGAGGGAGGGGAGGAAAGAAGGAAGGGCCTTTTCCTGCTCTGTGGAGTCGTTGTTGGTCATAAAACGTGTCCATCTATTTCCCCCCCCCCCCCCCCTGTTTTATGGGCTCTGGGTCTTAACCCAAATTTGCTTTTTCAGAGCTTTTAAAAAAGGAAATCTTTGTTGGAAATCTCCCCCTGGATATCAAAGAGGTGGGTTTACACCATTTATTTTACGCATAGGTACCACAAACCCACATACGCAATAGATAACATTACGTAAGGGACATAGTTAGTCCTTGACACACGGCCACAATACAGACCAAAATCTCCGTGGCTAAACAAGCAAGAATTGTAGGTGAAATTAAACAGTCTTTGTAAAAATACTACGATATGACAACGACTCTCAGGGCCAAAGGCTTTATTAGTTTTTAGCCCAAACTCTCATATAATTTAATCACCGTCCAGAGTCCTTCCTTGAGAGGGACATGAGGGCTAGTAACATGAACTATAAACATAAAGAGATAAAAATTGCACTGCATATCAAATATTCATGGCAGCTGTGCAATAAAACTGTCGCAGCCCATCGAAAATGGATCCATTGGGGTTTACTTTATTGATTATTAGCTCACGGGCCATATCAAAGGGCAGAGTTCCAGCCACAAATTATGACTAAAACCTGATCAAGAACAATTTAAAATGAAATTGGAATAAAAGACAGTTTCAAATGAAATTGGAATAAAATGCAACCATTTCATACAGAGATAAATAAGATATAATACAATCCATTTGGGATGATATTCATCCTTTGCTGTCTTGGGGGGGAATAAAAATCTTCTTTAAAAAAACCCAGATGAGCTTTGAAACTTTTCAGCCTAATCATTCCGATCGAGGAATCTTAAATTTTAATTTTTGTTTTTTTTCCCGGCGCTGAGAATCCCTTGTTTAAAAAAAGGTTTTAATCTATGTTTCCCTAATTTCTTTTTTTTAATTTTATTATTTCTTCATTAGGAAGAGATTGCCTTCTTATTCAAGGATTTTGGAATCAAATCTTTGAAGAAGCACAGTAATTCTTTCAAATGGTAGGCCGGCGTTTCTATTCATACATACATACATACATACATACAAAAAATCCTCAAAATGTGAATTATTTTGAGGGCAGCCAGAATGTCCGTTGATAAGCAAGAGGTGGTGTTGAGCAAATCGGGCCTGATTGGACAACCATTTGAAACCACAACGGCTCTGAAAAAAGTGACTTAGGATCCCTCCTCACACTTACGACCGTTGTGGCGTTCCCGCCGGTCACGTGGTCAAAACCCAAGCTATTCGTCGTGTATTCAGACGGTAGCCACGTCCCGGGATTAGTGATCCAGTTTGTGACTTTCCCAGCCAACTTCCAACAAGGGAAGATGCAGGATTCGCTTAACAACTGCAGGATTCGCTCAACGACCCCACCTCATTCGCTTAAGAACCGCGGCGAAATTTGGAAAGGGCTCTTTTTAAGAAGGCACACACACACCCCTTTTTGCTTAAGCGACATAAGTTCCATTCCTGTGTCGGTCGTAAGATCGAGGACGATCTGGCTTCGTTGATCTTCCTTCCCTGCTTGCCACAACAGCCCTGCGAGGTAGACCAAGGAGCTAAAAGAACGAGCTGGTTTTCCAAGGGAAAGCTAGGCAGGGCTTCCCCTCCTGCCGGATGTCCTTTTGCTCAAGAGGGGCTGAGGATGATGGGAATTGGGGGCGATGGGGATTGTGTCCTGTTTTAAAAGGGCTCCCAATTTGGAAAGGTTTTTTTTTTCTTTCTTCAATTTCTTTTTCAATCTTTTTCCCCTCTGTAGTTTTGCATTTCTGGACTTGATGTCCCCAGAAGCCGCGAAATTAGCAATCCAGCTTTTGAATGGACACTTCGTAAAAGGGAGACCGATGTCCGTCGCGTTTTCGGAAAACAGGAAAACCCACGAGGTTGCGAAAACCATCCCTCCGATGCCGGTAAGCCACGATTCACCTCCTTAGAGCTCACTTTCTCCCTCCCCGCCCCCAAAAAGCTGATTTTTGGAGCCTTTAAACAGATTTACAGAAAGTCCTCGACTTAGAACAAGTTCATTTAGTGACAACACTGAAAAAAAAGGATTGTTTTTCTCAGACTTAACGACCTCAAAATAGTGACTTATGACCGTTTTTCACACTTGCTGTAGGCTCAGTTGCGGTCTGTAAGTTGACCATTTTAAACAGCTAAATTTTAATATTGTCAGAGGGGAAATCCATTATATGGATTGGTTATATTTTTATTTTTTAATGTATTTTTTGGTAGCTTTTGGTTAATGCGTTGAAGTTTAAATTGTTTTATAAACCCAGAAACAAAATTCCTTTGCAATTTTGGGGTCCTTGCTGTAGGCTCTGGGGGAAGTGGATGCTAATTCAGCTTCAGTACCAAACGATGGTTTGTTTAATCGTAGTTTGCTGAAGCAGTCACGAAGAAGGGGATTGGGCCGTTTTAAACTTTTAGAGCAATGGATGGTTTGTAGTTCTGGATTTATTCCCTTACAAATATTTTTTTTTAAAAAAATTGCTTTTGTAGGATTTGGAATTGGTCCCACCCAGTGAATATGGATTTACCAATGGTACGAGATAGCGATCTTGTTCTATTCTTGTTCTATTACTATTATTATTATTATTATTATTATTATTATTATTATTATTATTATTATTATTATTATTATTATTATTAAATTATTATTATTAATTATTATTATTATTATTTTGATCCTGGTAAAAACCAGCCTCATACCCTATTTTTGATTAATTAATTGATTTTTAAATGCTGTTTTAAGAACATCTGGCTGAGGGGCAAGAGCTTGATTTTTCTTGGTGGCGATTTACGCGGGTGCTTAGCCTTGCTGGCCTCAAGGCTCCAATTTGTCGCTGCTTCTTTTTTTAACCTCACCAAAGGTGCCACCCATAACTCCCCTGTAAATCAGAGGGCCTGCTATGCTGTCCCCATGGAAATGAGGTACGTTGCAAACGTGGGGAGGAAAAAAAAATGTGAGGTTTTTTTTTCCCCCTCCTTGGTGATAATTATGAATTTGGCGACAGGTTTTGGTGGGAATTGCGTTGCATCAATTCAATATTTTGCACCGAGGAGCTCATTGGCCGCGTCCTTAACTCGTTTCCCGAATTCTCCTACATCCCTTTCGCTTCGGACGCCTTCAAAAATTTCTAGGCGACTGGGGGGGGAGGGGTTCTTCTAGATGACCTGGAGGGGTCCCACCCCCTCTCTCTCGCTTTCCCTCTGCTTCTTGTTTTATTTTCCTTTGCAGAAGTTCATTTCTGTTCCACGTGCTGAACGGCTGCTTTGGAGATGCCAAGTGGCTCGTTTCCGTGGCCGGCGTGGCCGCAGGGGAGGCGGGGCTTTTGGTGACGGACACGTTCCCGATGATGCCGTACTTCTGGGGCATGGTCCTCAACGAGGTTTGCAGGGTCGACGCCCGAAACTCCCAAGCGGAGGGCTTCCCTTCTGTAGACCCCTCGCGACAAGAGACAGCGGCCCCGTTTCTTGGAACCCTCCTCATGAGGGCTAGAAACTTGACCCGTGCTGCTGGGGGGAGCAGCCGTGGCCCGTTTCCAAGCCCCATGAGGGCTAGAAACTTGATTGGTGCCCCCTAGGGAGCAGTTTGCTGGTTTTAGAGGCTGCAATCCTTATTTTTTGGGGGGGGGGGGGGTGGGGGTCTTTGCAGGAAAGCTGCAAATCCATGGAGAAGCTCTTCACAGCTTTGGCTGAGGCCGAGGCCAGCTTGCCCTTCCTGGCCAAAGAGGAGGTGCAGAGCGGGACTCGGTGCCTGGCCCAGTGTGACATTGGGGAAGAGAGCAGCGCCTGGAACAGGTGAGGGCGTCCCTGTCCCGTTTGGGGATCAGCCCAGAGGGAGGGAAAAAATAGAGGGAGGGAAGGAAGGAAGGAAAGAAGCAAGGAAGGAAAAGGAAGGAAAGAATAAAGAAGAGAAATACAGAATAAGGAAGCAAGCAAGGAAGGAAAAATAGGGAAGGGAAGGAAGGAAAAGAGGCAGGGAGATACGGAATAAGGGAGGAAGGAAAAAATAGAAGGAAAGAAGCAAGGAAGGAAAAGGAAGGAAGGAAAGAAGAAAGAAAGAAAAAAGCAGAGAGATACAGAATAAGGAAGGAAGGAAAAATAGGGAAGGGAAGGAAGGAAAAGAGGCAGG